TGCTGAATGTTATTTTTTGTTACAGAATGCACTGAAATTCTCAAGAAAGCAAAGTTTTTATAAGGTAACTGTAGTTCTTTGTAATTACATTAATTGCTGTGTGATTTTTACTTGTACCAAACTTAGGTGGACCTCAACTAGAAACTACCACAAGTGAATAGTTTTATTTAATTAAACCAAAATGTCATCTGTTACCTGGTGAAATCCACAAAGGATTATCCCCTAGCTTTCTCATCTTCTGTACTTCTCCATAAAGGTTATTTCTCTCACCTCTGTTACTGGCAGTCAGTACCTCCCATTACTGTACACACTGCATTAGCCAGTAGGGCCTGATAAGGCTGTATTGCAGGTTTTATTTCTATCTGTGATATCAAAACTTGGTGGAAGATTTCTGCTTTTTTATTGAGGCCCTAAATGCTGTTATGGTTCTCTTCGAATTATCAAAACTCCAGGTAAACAAGTATATGTATAAGGCATGCTAATGAGTTACTTGGTCTAAAATGACATTTGGCCTTCTGATCTTTTTCAATTTGAGCATATCAGGGTTTTGTCTCTAGTAGCATGGCATGAAAATAGTCTCTGTGCTAGCCACTCTCTAAGGCAACACAGTGGTCTCACACTGATTTTCTATAGTTATATATCACGCTCCCTACTAGTTTCTGTATATTTATACTTTCAAACTGATCATGAGTGGAACAGCAGTAACTTTTAAAAAGAATTCCTAAAACCAATGCAAATGAAGTAAGTATAAGTTTCCTAGAGCTAAGAATGAGAACCTATATAGATAATAACTACAGAAAAAAAGGCAAATTTCTAGAATGTATAAAATTTGTCTATTTCTTCTGTTTACTTTTTTATTATGAAGCTTAGCACACTGTAAGTTTCAACCCAAAGCTCTTTATTAAACCACGTAGGACTAAAACAAAAAGTCAGTAGTGTGCAGTAAATTTTACAATTTGAAAGGTTTTAAAACCTTTTAGAAAAGTCTCTCAACATCTAGAACAGCCAAAACAAGCAGAGGCCACACTGAGACCATATTAGGGCATAGGTGTCACTCATTTAGTCATACCACAAGCAAACCCCACAACTAGAAAATCTTGTTTGCTATTTTCAAAGCAGCTCATTACTAAAACAAAAACAATACTTCAGATTTTCAAGTTTAGTCAATAAGAGTCTGTTTTATTTTAATCTACTTTAAGCTTTTCAACTTTCCACAGTTGTGTCCCAGAAAGTTATACAATATTTCCCATTGTTTATACCTATATGTACTTCATACAGGTGTAAGATACCTTATTTTATAAGTATAAAATTTTTAAAACTAGGAAAGTTGATTATGTTACTATTTTGTAGGAAGTTGGCAATATAATGCTATGTCCTAACAAAGAAAGTTAATGTAAAACCCAGTTTTATGTCCATGTTTCATACATTTCAAAATGTCTCATTAAAGTTTTGAAACACAATTATTTTAATGAATACTCAAATTGTGCTAGTAAAAGGTCTTGGAAACCTATTCTTTATTCTATAGAATTTAAGAACATATAACTTGATATAACCAATTAGCATTTACTGAACGTCTATTCTCTTTAAGGCATGGTATAGTGAACTTCACATTCATTATCTCATTTTAATTTCTTAATACTTCTGGATAGCCATAGACAACTAATAAAATTTTTCACTGGCTGTCTAATTGCACAGCAATATAGTACCCCAAAACAGAAGCCTTTAAAGTTTTGGATATTATGAAGAATATTCACTGACAAGAAAATGTTCAGGACAAAATGATAGATAAAAGATTAACTACTGAATTACACACAATACCTTAAGTATGTTAGAAGACAATATATATATATATATATATATATATATATATATATATATATATATATACACACACACACACAAATTTCCAAATGTCTATTTTGGATGGTAGAATTGCCAGTACTTTTCTGAATTTTGTAAGATAAATATTATAAACAGAAATCTGCAAGTCTTACCCTAAAATATTTCTTTCCCTCAAGCATATTAATTTTAAATCAAATTTAGTAAAAAATAGAATATATTGCATAGTAGCCAGGAAACAATTTCCTTTAAAATATTCTGGTATACGCTATGTATATATAATGAAAAGTGTATCATACACATATTTCATTTACAGTTTGAGTCATTGTCTTCACCTTCAGATCCCATTGCTTTAATTTCAAATGTGAAGATTAACTACAGATTTTCTTAAAAGCTACACTGCTTTTGTCTTATATAAATTAAATTTGGCCGGGCATGGCAGCACATGACTGTTATTCTAGTACTTGGGAGGTACTGAAAGATCACTACAAATCTGAGGTCAGTGTGGGCTATAATGAATTCAAGGGCAGCCTAAAGGGCTACACATGGTGAGATCCTGTCTCAAAAGAGCAAACAAACAAAAACATAAAGATAGCAGAAACAACTGTCTAATTAATAAATATTTCCTAAAAAATTCAAATGTAGACTTTGTAAACTTCAAAGATGCATCAGACCCTCAACTGGGGTCTTTTGTACCACTGGTCAATTTTGAGCATACAGTAGGCACTCAATAAAAGTTGTTAGCTGAATGGGGACAGGAATTCATAAATGTCTTCTTTCACTCTCCAGACTTTTCCTTTCTTCAGTTTAGATGACCTGAGAAGCACTTCCTCAAAATAACCCTCTGGCTCACCATGAGAAGAATGCCTGGCACCAGCTGGCACTAGATATTAATAGTACACTCATTAGGCACTTGTTCAAGGCACGCAGATAGCTCAGTGATAAAATCTTTAGAAATATTTGGACAGTTAAGATTATTTAGAATAGGAAACAGTTGTGATTCTTTAAATCTTCAAGTATAAAAAACCAACTTCTTTTTAGAGAATTCTTTAAAAAAATAGCGAGGTACAGTAACAACTGCTTTCAATTTCAGAAGAACTCAGCTTCTAGGATTAAAAAAAGCTCACAACAGTAAAATTCTTTTTTTTTCCCTTATAATAAGATTTTATTTTGAAGGATTTGGCTGCTAAAATAGAAAAGAAAATGAAACTTCTCCTTTAAACTTCAATTTTCAGATTTTATTTATCACTCCGATGGGTAAGAAGTCTTTTTACCAATGAAACTACATTTCTATTCTTCCGTCAGCACACTGGATTCAAAACCAGAGATACAGTATATTTAAAATTATAAAATATCCCAGGTTGCTTATTGTGGCCTTTGGAGGCATTAACAAGGAACAGGCTATAATGAATTTTTAAAATAATACATAATTTAGAAATACCTGAATTTTTACTGGGGAGGATTAACTATTTTATTCACTGATATACTACTATTCATCTATTCTTGACCTAAATTTGGCAGATACTTAGTTTAGCCAGTAAGAGACATAAATTCTAAAAATCCTCTTATTACTTCCTATAAAGTGCTCTATATCCTTAAATAGACAAAGACATTTATTCTCTAAACTGTAACTTCAGTTTGCACAAAATTATCAAAGGTATGATGGATTACTTTTCTTACTGTTTTGTGATATCTTCATATGCCTAAATTAATTCATAGCCAGGCATGGTGGCACATGGCTGTAATCCCAGCACCGGGGAGGCTGAGGCAGGACGATTACAAGTTTCAGGCCACCCTGGGCTACATAAGTGTGTTCAAGGTCAGCCTGAACTACACAGTCAGACCCTGTCTCAAAAAAACCTAAATAAACACACAAACACAGAAAAGCAATAATAATCAATTTTGAATCCTCAAATTCTCAGATGAAGAAACGATTCTACTAGATAATCCACGGAGCTAGGTAGAGATGGAAAACAAGCTGCACTTCCTGACCTTTAAGAATTTCCCAGACAAAAGAGGAAAAGAAAGTGCTCTAAACTATATAACTGCATGTATATTTAAGTGTATAAGATAGAAAATGATATCACAGAGTTTTATTGGATCATTGAACAGAACTGTTTGCAGTATCATTGTTGGAATGTCCACTTTACAAGCTTTAATTTTGTGACTTGAACAATTATTTCTAAGATGACAATATGTAATCCATTAACTAGTGATTTCCTACTGTTTATTTTTTTTTCTGTAAATCTGTATAACTTGTACCTTTTCTCTGTTTTTTTTCTCCTTAAATAAAATTAAAAAAAAAAAAAAAAAAAAAAAAAAAAAGAATTCCCCAGACAGCTGGGGAAATTATCCGGAAAATGAGTGCTAATCAGAGAAAGGCTTCAGTTGGAATAGAGAAAAAAGGTGTTTTACAAGCAAAGTGCTCACCCCACTTCCATTTTGGGTAGAGGAGCAAACAAGGACGGCAAAGTGGGGCATGTTATGGAGGGTCTGGAAGTCTGGCAAAGACATTCAGATTCGGTGCTGTAGAAAATGGAGTAGTGAGAGGTTTTTGCAAAGAGGAGAGTGAAAAACACTCAGGCAGGTCAAGTAGAAAGCTGGTAAGTACAGGTACAATTTTTGGTTAGTGTACTTTTTAGTAGTAGCTCTTAAGCCATAGTGGATCTTTCTAAGTTTTCTTGGTCTTCACAGAGGCTTTTACAGTTTCAATCATCATATAGACACATAACACACACACACACCCCACACACACAGTGTCAAAGGATGTATGCAGGTAAATAAAAAACAAGAATTAAAGAGAAAAAATGAAGCATAATTAGCTCAAATATGAAAATTATAGCTACAAACCATTAGTTCTTACTTGAAATAATGTGAAAATAAAATAGAAATGGCATAAGTATCACTGAATTTAAATCTATGAAAATTCTAATTTTTATTCACCACTAGACTCACTTAAATATACAAGAAATACACGATTATCTTCATTTTATTTTATAAGCAATTTAATATTTATGTACATTAAGAATAAAGTTAGGTATAAAATATAAGAAAAAAGAATAAAGTTATATTGTCATTCAACTCGGTACATTATCAAAATGAACAGTGTAATTACATGTAGCATGAGTAAATCAGTAAGATAAATCGTATATTGACTTTACCTCTGCTTCAGCCGTCTTCTGGCTGTTGTGGGAACATTAGCCCCATAGCCATAGGAGTAAAGAATTCTTTCAGCCTCATCTTCATTTTCAACTGAAAAACATGAAAATGCATTGTGTGAAATGATCTCTTTTTCCCTTAAAAAGCATGGCAGAGTGAAAATAAATGAGGTTATAACAGTGAATTAGGAAGAATAGGAACTTAAAGAGGCCTAATGCAAAATCTACAACAACTCATCTGCACCTAGAAGTAAATGTCTTCAAGTATATGCTCGCTTGGACTTGTCTGATTTACAGTTAAAAGATATTGAGGGCTTACATCTTATCACATAATTTGTTGTTGTGAAGCACAGCAATATACATTTGTTACTCTGAAGAATTCAAAGGTTTTTTTGTTTTACATAAAATGTATGCTATAAAATCTGATAAATAATGATAAAGCCAGTTCCTTAATTCTCTTCTTGATAATTAATTTTTTGATTAGGAAACATTTTCATTATTTTATCAGAACAAGTTAGATATTTTAACTTGCAATAATGAAATTATATATGTAAGTCTGCTAGCCTGAAGAAAATGTGCAGAACTAACCAAGTATTGATGGCCTGAACTGTACACCACACACAAAAAAATTCTGGAATAAAATTTATTTCTAAATTCTACTTTGTTATGTCATTCTGTCACGTAAAAAGTTCAAATGCAATGACATTTTACTGCAAGTTAGGATTTAAAAAAGAAAATTTCATCAAAGCCCATAAAAACTAAAGTAAATCAGTCAATGACATAAAAATGTTTGTATATCTATTAGTAATCATTATTTTTATGCTTAAAAAAGGGAGAACCTACATTCAGGAGTATTTTGGATTTAAAATAAAGTCAAATATTTTATACCATGAGTTAATCTTGACTATTTATATGACTATAATGTATTTATGCACGAAACTGCTGGTTGGCCCTTCTGTAGTAAAGATTTTAGAAATATTTGTAAATGTTTTTATTTAATTTTGTTGATTTTTCAGGATGACCCAGGATCAGTTTTCAGAGGTAGGATAATTAGTTTAAAAACTAAACTCTTCAAATTCAAGGAATAAAGTTAACTTTGTAAAAAGGAATTAAAGCCTAAGATACTATAATTTTTATGGCTACATTCTAATTAACAAAGTCTACTCATTTTCATGTCATCTGAAACTAGCTGATGTAGGTGGTAAATCTTCAAAAGTTGTACACAATTTAGTACTAAAAAAGAATACATTTATATCTTTAAAATTTTATTGCTTAATACGTATTCATCAGACCATTAGGCTAATATTCTAATTTCTGATATGAAATGATAGAGAACTATTAATTCATCTTCTAGTACAAGTAAGTATATTTTATTCTAAGGTACTTTTAAGATGATTTAGTTATCACAAGAACGTTAATCTCCATATTTTTCTAAGATTTTAGGAAAACATTTAGGCATGGAAAAAAAGAATTGTACAGTACATGTGAACAACACATGGATTCTAAACTATACATCTGTACTATACTTTGCATACTTTCTTTTTTAAAATTTTATTTAAGGAGAAAAAAGAAAAACAGAAAAAGGGTACAAGTTATACAGAATTTCAGAAAAAATAAACAGTAGGAAATCATTAGTTAATTACATATTGTCATCTTAGAAATAGTTGTTGAAGTTACAAAATTAAAGCATATAGAGGGGACTTTTAAACAGTGAGACTGCAAACAGTTTTGTTCAATGATCCAACAAAACTCAGTAATATGGTTATCTATCGTATACACTTAAATATATATGCAGTTACAGCTTTTAGAGAACTTTCTTTTCCTTTCTTTTGTACAATGACAATTACACATTTTGGGTTTTATTACTCTCACAGTTCTTACTAGTTTTTTTTTTTTTTTTGAAGAAAGTAAAACCGAATGTGACAACCAGGACAGAGTCAGTCAAATCAAAAGGATGGACATAATACATAATGTAAAAACAAAATACAAAGTGATCAACAATGGTTACCATAATGCCTCTTGTTATCTTAAAAAGAATTGCCTATATCATCAGTTACAATAAAATTGAACAAAACAGTAAAGAATAAGACCAATAAAACCAAAACATTGGAGACATTAGAGGACTTCAAAAGAAGATAATAGTCAACCAGAATGGGCGTCACAAGGAATCTTATTGTCTTCATAGTTGTTGCCTATACTTTCAAACTTGGTACTATCAAGCATAACAGAATAGAGAAAAATCAGTCAAAACAAGATGGTGAGAGCAATACAGAGTTTCAAATCAAGTTAATAGGAAATCAAAGTGGGTTACTATAATATATCCTGCTATTTTTTAATTTTTCCCTTAATTAAAAGGATAAAGATGAAAAAGTAAATAATAAAAAGGAGATTGAGATAAAAAAGGGGGCATAACAACAAAACAGCACAGGTTGAAACACAGCCATTTAAACAAAATAGTGTTTCACCACAAGATAATCTCGACATACTAGTAGTTACCATAGTGTCTCTTCCCTTAAAATCTTTGGGTACAACTTCGTATACTCTAGCATCAAACATATCAAAACAATGTAAAACCGTTCAAGAGAATGACAGTATTACAGGGTATTTAGAATCAACTAACAGAAAATGAACAATGGTTTCTGTATAATCTCCTTGTCTATAAAAGTTTTTGTTTATATTATCACATATAATAAAATCCAGTAAGATACAACATGTTAAAACCGATGGAGACAGAAGAACAAAAGCTTGATGGTACTTCAAAACAAGAGGATATTAAATCAGCACTACCTATTATGATGTCTTGTTTTCTCCAAAATAGCTGTTCCTACCATCCAACCTTCTCTGCCTCATTTCTGTTGAGCTCTTTTTCTGTCATTAGTTTTCAGTTTGTCTTCTTCATTTCACTTTCTGCTCCATTCATTGTGGCCTCTCTGCCACTGTTTCTGGAATCTTGGTATTTTTCATTTTTAGAATATCCTGCAGCAATCTCTGTAGAGTTGAACTGGTGGTTGCAAATTCCCCTAGTTCCTCTTTATCCTGGAAGTACCTTGTTTTTCCATCAATTTCCAGGGACAGTTGTGCAGTATATATCAATCTTGGCTGGAGGTTATCATCTTTCAAAGCTTGAGTTATTTTCCCCCACGCTCTTCGTGATTTGATGGTTTGTGCCGAGAAGTCTGCTGTAATTCTGAGGGTGTTCCCTTGTAAGTGATCTGTTTCTTGTCTCTGATGGTTTTTAATATTCTGTTCTTGTATTGTATTTCTGGAATTTTGATTATTATATACCTGGGTGTAGCTCTGTTTGGGTTGTAGGTGGCTGGGGTCCTCTATGCCTCATACATCTGAGTATCTTTACCTTTTGCTAAATTAGGGAAATTCTGGATTATTTCTGTGAATAGCTTTTGTAGTTCATTTGTTTGAGGCCCTACTTCTTTTTTGTTCTTAATTCTTAGGTTATAGATCCTCTTATCATCTTCTAGTCTTTGTATTATTGCTGCTTGTTTTCTTGTTATTTTTAAGAAGTTTTTTATTTCATGCTCCCACCTTACAAATCTGTCCTCCAGTTCTGATAATCTATCCTTAGTTTCTTTCAAGCTGTTATGTCAGTTTTCAATAGTTTTTAGTTTCCTGGTAATCTCTGTGACCCTGCTTCACGTATTCTATGTTTTCTCTATTTTCTCCATCAAACAATTCTCCCCTTTTTTTCTGTTCTTCCATTCCACCATCTGTTTTTTCTTGGGCGGTGCTTAGCATTTCTCTAACTATTCTACTTATTTCTTGCTTTATTTCATTAAATACTTCATTTTTGAACTCATCTATGAGGCTCCGGAGATACCGCTTTATGTCTATAGGTGCTGTGTCAGATATTGCATGTTTTCTGTCTTCATTCTCTTTTGCATTTACCTTTCCTGGATCAGTGTTCTCAGGATTGAGGACTGAGGACCCTTTCTTTTTGCTCCCTTTTCCCATACTTTTTGTTGTTTCCCTACAAGTGTATGCAGGAGGCCCAGTTTTTTTTTTCTCTTTGTCTGCTACAGTTTGTTTGAATCCGCTGGCTAGGTGTTCCCGCCCACTGCAGTGTGCTAGGGAGACACAGACCTAGGCAGCCTCTGCTGGGCCTGTCCCTCCACGTCAACCTACTGAATGCTTCACTGCTAGGGTGCACCGCCAGGCGCAGGGACCTGATTTGGGCGAGCCTACTGGATCTTAGTCCGCAGCATCACCAGGCCAAGCGCTTCCCACCACTCCTGCTTGAGAGGGGAATATGCGACTAAAGTCACTGCAGGGCCCTGTTTCGGCTAGTCTGCTCGTTCCCAGAATGTCCTCTATTGGAGCCTCCTAGTCTATGAAAGGGTCCCCATTCTCTCACTCACTGCAGGTCGATGCAGGACTCCCTGCCAGTCCCGCTCTCAACGCTGTTTGGTTCACCAATTCCAGCTCTCAGAGCTTTTGCACGTCTCTCTCCCTATTGTGCGGATTGGGACGCAGTAGCAGCAGCAGGAAATTCAAATCACGGCTTCCAATGGCGCAGGATCCAGCGTCCGCACTGAGATTTTATCTGTTCCTGTTATAGCATCAGGACTGCATTTCCAGTTGGTTTCTCTCAGCTTAGTTCGTTCCTGGGTTGGCAGGGTACATCTCCCCTCGCGTAGGACTCCTCACACGGCACCGCTCCTGGATTCTAAACTGGTAATCTCAGAGAGCCTCCGTGGCAGCTGTTATTTGTACGCCATGTTCTCCCGGAAGTTTACTTTGTATACTTTCAGAGTAAGTTGTGATATCTGTACACATCACCACTTAACACTTCTCCACGCAACTTATCAGTAACAGTTCAGTATTTATACACAATTTAAAAACTTAAATTGTATTTGACAAAATGCAGAAATAATGAGTTTTGGAATAAAAGTTTTGATATACACACATGTGTAACACAAAAATCCTATAGATATACACAGAACATCTGAAAAGTCAGAAAATTCCCTTGTGTCTGTTTCCCCAGTTACTTCTTAGTGACAACCACTCACTAAGGATACCAGTATTTGGACATTATTTTACATTAGGTTATTTTTACTTTTTCTTGAATTTTATATGAAT